CAATTGACTAATCCAAATTACAATTTACGCTTTCTGAAACTAAATTAACTAATCTGAATTACATGTGATGGTCTCTGAATTACACTTGAAAGAGGTGTATTTCAGAAAACGTTAATTGTAATTTAGATTAGTCAAATGTATTTCAGAAAGTATTCATTGTAAGTGAAAACGGTAAATTGAATTACAAAAACCATCAGATATAATTAAGATTATTTAATGTAACTTCAGAAAGCGGAAATTGAAATTCAGATTAGTCAATTGTATTTCAAAAAGTGTTAATTGTAATTCAGAGTTTCTCACTTGTAATTGAGAATTCGACGATTTTAATTCAGAATTCGTTATTTTCATTCAATAATCACTTTGAAAATAAAATATCCTATTTATTTTATAAAATACCAAGTTTATGTACCTAATTCTTTAATTCTGAAAATAAAATAATTAGTTATATTTTCTGGATTACATGTAACATGAAATTTATTTACTGTTCAGAATTACATGTAAGTTTCTGAATTACAAAATACTCTGAAATACAACTGATTAATCTGAAATCTAATTTATCCTTTCTGAAACTTATTTTACTCTTCTGAATTACAATTAACACTTTCTGAAAGACAATTAAATAATCTAAATTTTAGTTTACGCTTTCTGAAACTAAATTGACTATAATCTGAATTACATTACACTTGAAAAAGGTGTAGTAAAAAAAATACTAATTATAAGGTCAAATAGTAATTCTGAAAAGAAGAAAATAAGAACAAGAACGAAAAATAGAGAGTAAATTGAAAAAAATATAAATAGTAAAAAAGTAATAAATACAAATATTAAAAAATAAGTAGAAATAAAAATAAATTATTTTTGTAATTTTAGCAATTCGTGTGGAACGACTTCTGTGAAGAATACATCCCCACCGACCGCAAGCACACTTACTACCCTTCGGTAATCACCAACGACCGTTTATACGAAATCAAAATCAGCGATCTCCCTGTCATCCCTTACTTCCCTGTCAATTCCTACTACGAATGGGCCAACTATCGCTATTACGGCCTTCGCAGTGCCACCGCCTACATCCTCGTCTTCGATTTATCCAACTTGGAGACATTCCAATACATTCGCACCCTTCGTGAACAAATCTCTGAAAGTCGAAACATGTCCAATGTTCCACTCCTCGTCGTCGGGAACAAACAGGACCTCATCGCAGACGATGGTACTAAAACCCCAGCCGATGATAAACGCAGAGATATCGCCAATTTGGTCAAAAAGCATTGGAAATGTGGATATATCGAGTGCAGTGCTAAGTATAATTGGAAAGTTGTGGCGGTTTTTCGCGAGTTGATCAACATGATTGATAGTTTGGATTCGAGGGATCAGAGTCCGATGCTGGATAATATCCAGGATGCTCTGGATAGGAATAAGTGTGTGGTTATTTAACGGGGTAGAGGTTTTCGTTCGTATTCAGCAATAAATTATGTACTTAGACAATCGAAAGTTTCTGACGATAAATTACGTAATGTGGTTGTGATTTTGTTATGTGCCAATTTTTAGTGCTGTAGACTTATTATCATCGAGGAAATAAAAGTATCAAGTTATTGAGTCTGATTTTTACGCTCATCGAATCGAAAAATGAGACAAATACAATAAATAACAAATAAAAACACAGTGTATAGGACGTGAAGTAGGTAAAGAAAATTATATTTTTTGTGTTTTGATTTTACACACTATTATCTTTATTACGATATATCTTAATACTTCAACTGGTAAAATTAAATCTCAAAAAAATAAAAAACTATTAGGAACATGTAACAAAAGAAAAAAAATTGAATCAAAATACAGAGATACTGAAATATCGCAAAAAATAAGAAATAAAAATATGTAAAAACATTGATAAATAAGTGGTGATAATTTACAATAATAGAGAAATGTTAATACAACAGAAAAAACAGAAACAGAAAAGAGTAAAGTGAAAAAATATTTTATAATATCTAATATTGTTCTTGTACGCTATAAAAATTTGCAAAACAAGCTATAAAGAGTAAATGAAAAAGGAAAAAAAAAGTTAAAAAACGTACAAAACACTAAAAACCAAACCAGAAAAAAATTAAGAAAAAAGAAATAAAGAAATTGAAAAAGAAAATAGAGAAATGTTTAAAAACTGGAATTAGAAACGTTTTAGGTTTTACTGGTGGTAAACGTGAAAAAATCTAAGACAAAAATAAAATAAAAGAAAAAACTAAGTTACATTATTATTAATTATTTCTCGTGTTTCTTCTGGTACGCGATGGAAAATTGCAAAACCACGATTAGAAAATTCGCACTCGTTTTTAAATTTCTCAAAAATTGCTCTTTTTATAAGAAAAAAACCACGGCTGAAAATTCGGGTTAATTTTCAGTGATGGTTTCACTCAATTCATACAATTCTTTTCTCTCTTTTTGTGAGGTTTTTTCTAACATCATAGACTAATTCTTTGATTTTTTTACCCTCTTCTGTTGCTTTATGACAACAAAATTAATTTAAGAGAAAGAGTAAAGCGGAAAAATATTTTATAATATCTTCTTGTACGCTATAAAAAATTGCAAAACAAGCTATAAATAAAAAAGTAAATAAAAAAAAAATGAAAAAGAAATAGAGAAATGTTAAAAAACTAGAATTAGAAGAAAGAAAACACCTTTATTTTACACATTTTAGGTTTTTCTTGGTGATAAACGTGAAAAAATCGAAGACAAATAAGAAATCAAAGAAAAAAATAAGTGAAATTGTTATTAAAATTATTTCTCGTGTTTCTTCTTGTACGTGATGGAAAATTGCAAAACCACGATTAAAAAATTCGCACTTGTTTTCAAAATTCTCAAAAAAAATGCTCTTTCTTATAAGAAAAAAGCCCACGGCTGAAAATTCGGGTTAATTTTCAGTGATGGTTTCAGTCAATTCATACAATTTTTTTCTCTATTTTGGTGTAAATTTTGTGAGTTTTCTAACGTCATAGACTAATTCTTTGATTTTTTTACCCTCTTTTGTAGCTTTATGACACAACAAAATTAATTTAAGAGAAAGAGTAAAATGGATAAATATTTTATTAATATCTAATATTGTTCTTGTACGCTAGAAAAAATTGCAAAACAAGCTA